AAGAGACTCTTAAATGTGGAACAAACAGAGGGTTACTGAGGGGTTGTGGGAGGGGGGATGGGCTAAATGGGTAAGGGTCATTAAGGAGTCTACTCCTGAAATCATTGTTGCACTATATGCTAACTAATTTGGATGTAAATTAAATACATACATACATACATACATAAAAGAAGCTCAAGAGTGAGATGACCCCAGAGGAGCTACAGAAGTGGGAGGATGAAGAGTTTAACATGGGTCCACTCTCTGTGCTCACACATTCAGTCAAGAACGCCCAAGTGTTCATCAACTGCTGCAACAAGAAGCCCCTGGGCCCTGGGAAGGCCTTTGACAGGCATTGCACCATGGTGCTGGAGAATGTGAGAGATGTGGACTGATGTCTCCAAGAGTGGTAAGAGTAAGAAGTCCAAGCCAATCAACAAAACCACTGCATCTCCAAGATGTTCCTGTGTGGGACTGGGTCACTGTGGTCCGGCAGAACCTACTTATCGAAGGCAAGCAGGGACTTCCTCCTCACAGCTGGAATTCCCTCATCCTTCGAAGACCTGCCCTTTGGAATGGGAATAATAAAGTCTTAGGTTTTTTCTGTGGCAAAAAAAAAAAAAAAAAAAAAAAAGAGAGCGAGAGAAGAAATTTGGACATAGAAGTATACAGAGAAGTTGTAAAGGCACAGGGAGATGGCCATCTATAAGCCAAGGAAAAAGGCCTGGCACAAATCCTTCCCTCATGACCTTCAGAAGGAAGCAATCCTGACACCTTCATCTTAGACTTGTAACTTCCAGAAGTGTGAGGAATAAATTTCTGTTGTTTAAGCCACCCATTCTGTGGTACTGTTACAGCAGGCCTAGCAAATTAATACACCTCATACTCAAACTACTTCCTAATTGTAGAAACTTGAATCATGAGTCAGAAGCTATGGAATCATAAGCAAACAACCTGGGGAGGGGGAGGTCAGGAAAGAGGTCCCAGAGGAAGTGACAGCTAAACTGGACATTTAAGGAAGAGGTGTTAACTGCACAGTGGGCTAAAGGATGGGTTGTTCCAGGTAGAAAGGACCAGAAAAAACTAACTTCCAACATGCTCCCTCCATCTACTTTTTATCCGTTTAATCCATTCTCTCCACTGCATCAGCATTGTGTTGCTAAGACACATATCATGACAAGTTATTCCGGCTCCAAACTGTGTGGCTTCCTGCTTCGTTCAGGATAAAAGCAAAATCTTTAACTAGGCCCTCCATCACCAGGCCCTACCTAATTTCAGCATTATTTCATGCCATTTCATCCCCACTCACTTTCAGTTTTTATTACAAAAGACTTCTTTAGGTTTTCCCAACAGCTTCTTCTAGTTTCAAGGCTCCCCCCTACCACAAGCTATTCAACTTATATGGAATACTGTTCTCATGCTCACCTCTTTTAACTAATTAATCCCTATTCATCCTTCATATCTCTGCTGATTAAATCAGTAGGCTCCTTACTCTGCGTTTTTTCATAACACTTCTTCCAAGTGTAATTAAACTAATTATGCAATTACTTAAAGTCTGTCTCCTCCATTAAACCGTAAGGACCTATGTGTCTTGGTCCCCTGGGTCTGACATTGTGCTTTAACTCATGTAAGTACCCAATAAATATGTGTTGAATGAAGAGCAATGGTTCCACTGGAAAACTAAAATATGTTTTGTGTGACTTTTTAGAGGAATTATTCAAAAACTCTCCTGGGGCGCCTGGGTGACTCAGTCGGTTGAGCGACCGACTTCGGCTCAGGTCATGATCTCATGGTTTGTGAGTTCAAGCCCCGCGTCGGGTTCTGTGCTGCCAGCTCAGAGCCTG